TCGATACTCCCCACACGACGACTCCATCTTATCCACGCTTCTGCTTCCCCGTGTAACTCACGCGCCGGTATTCTTTGACCTTTGCGGACTTCCCAAAGTTTGCTAGTCAATAGCGTCTCTTGGGACTAGTTCATTTTATGGGCACTCTTTGTTTCTTCTTTAAATATATGTTCTAGATAGAATAATATTCTCTTATATTTAATAAGTAATTTAATTTAATATCAAGTTTTTGATTTTGTATGTTGTCTTAAATGTTCTTAATATCATGATTTTATAGTCATAAGAATATTATGTCTTTTCTTAGATTACGAATTTTAAGAGTCTTTCTTTTTATTTTAAATTCTGTGTTCAGTAGAAAAGAATTCACGTAAAATAAATGGTGGGAGTAATAATTTTTCTTCCATTTTGTATGGCACCTTATTGTTTATTTTAAAAGGCAAAAAGGCCCCCGACCACTTGAACTTGCACCCGATTGTCATGCCGGTAAATAAACTTTCAAAATTTCCATATGGACACTTCAACTCGAGAATAAGTTAACTAATAAAAACATCCGACAGTTGAATCATAGCGTGTGCATTACAATTTCACAAACGCGATAATCCAATCAGCAATAAAACGAATTAAAACCTGCCATATGTAAGGCACGAAAAAACGCTAAGCACCGACCATTTCCCATTCATTTTTGACCTAAAGACCCTAAAAAATCAAAATTAATTTCATTTTCAATCGTCTCTCTCATAGAACTCTACACTTTTAATCGTCTGCTCAAATGGAGTGAACAATTATCATAGGATTTTCAGTCCATTAGATCATCTGCACATTGTGTTTTTTTTCTAGAATCGGTCCCAAAATAAGAATCTGAGTGTTTCGTGTACCGCCGATTTCTCCTTCACCAGAAATGTAGAAGTCATTCAAGGTCCGATTGTAGTCTTTCATGATATTTCTGGTTATTTTCTTGGGTTTTTTTTATGCATTATTGAAGTTGGTCATGATAGATATGTTTTGTATGCATGCAATGGTTCTTTTGTTATTTAGGGTTTAATATTAGGACTTTTGTGGAATAACACACTAAATTCTTATTTTTTTTCTCTCAGTTTTGTCGGTTCCATGGCTGATTTGGCATATAGGGTTAAAAATTAGGACTTTTTATCATATCGAAATTTTTTGTCTCTTACAGTGATAAATTAGGGTTCTTTTCCGCATTTGCTTGTTGTTTTTCAAAGACATGTTCAGGCAATAGTCTTTTTCTTTTGAATATTTTACTGATTTTGACTTATCTTGTCTTATGTTCATAGGCGTAGTGAGGCAGGGTGGTTGTTCTTGTGAAATTATAATTTCACCATTAGGGACAATCGGTAGCTAGCCCATTAATGAGGTATGAAAATGGTATAACATGGCCTACTATTGTAATTGCTGACACTGATGAACTGCAAGTTATTCAATTCAACAAATGGACAAATGGTATTGGATAGTTAGGTGTGGAAAAATTTACATGTCAAGTCAATAAAAAAGGAGTATTTCGATTTATTAAGTATGATGCCGATGTGTTAAAATTCTGCAAAGACCTTCATGATGGGAATTTTATTGATGTTTATTATGTCACACTGTTAATATATCATGTATTGATATTGAATTGAATAAAATGTTAAGTTGGTGTGGACCCCAGTGATATTCCATATGACCAAACAACTGGCCTTAGTGAAGTGCCACAAAGGCAAACAAGTAGAGCTAATGCTAGGGCAACAAACTCACCTACCAATGATATAAGTAGTGGTTGTTTCACTGAGGGAAAGGGTAAATGGAGGTCTGCTGCTATAAAAGAGTCTACATAGGATGAAGGGGAGTTCTACAACTTTCATCTAGCCACAGATTCAGATTGTGATGAATTTGAGAGTAATTCTGAGAGTGAGGATGCTGAATGTAAGGGTGTTTTTGCTGATGAGGATACATATGAGTCACTTTATGATGTTGATGAGAATGTTGTTGGAGAGACATGTGATATAGAAGCTGACCTTATTGCTGCTAGACATACCAAAGTAAATCAGAAGAACTTGAAAGAGATATCTAGTGATGTTAATGTAGATGAGCTACCTAGTGGCCCAGTAGGCATTGACCATGGATTTGAAGACATTTATAAGGACAAGTCTGCTAAGTATGTTGGAAAATTATGAGGGGGTGAGAAATACCTAGACAGTTCAGATCCAGGGAGTGATGATAGTACCGATGATGATGTAGATACAGATGATGAGGTGCAGAACTTTCCTCCAAGAAGATACAGTAGAAAGGTCTACTTTGACCCTTACTGTAAGAAAATTATTTTCCAACTGGAAATGGTCTTTGAAAATATTAGAAAATTTAGATCTGATTTACAAGACTATGTTGTACAGAGTAGAGTTCAGTTAAAGTTGAGGCCAAATGAGAGGAATAGGGTCAGGGCAACATGTTGAACTCTAGTAGATGTAGATGGCATATTTTAGGCAATTTACAGGGCCACACATAGAATTTCATTATTAACACATACTCCCCTGTTCATTTATGCTTCCCAGTCACAAGGAACAAGCTTGCGAACACAAATTGGATAGTTAAACATTACAAAGATAAGATCATTAACCGGCTTACATAAAGCTCAAGGAGTTGCAAGAGTTGATAAGGATTACGTATAGTGTGTATGTAGGAAAAATAATATGTGCCAGGACTAGACAAAAGATAATGGGTAAGTATTTAGGTGATTACAAATGGAGTTTGCTAGGATTTATGATTATGCTGACATAATAAGAACTACTAACCCTGGCAGTACTGTTGTGGTGAGGACTTCAAAAGAAATAGAACCTGGTAAAGAGGTCTTTGTGGGGATATACATTTTTTTACATACTTTGAAAACAGGTTGGTTAGAAGGGTGNATGTATGTATATGTATTTGTCTACATGCTTTGAAAATAGGTTGGTTAGAAGGGTGTAGAAATGTAATTGGCTTGATGGTGTATTTTTGAAGGGAGTGTGTAAAGGTGAGCTATTATCATGTATTGCTAAGGATGGTAATAACCAGATGTACCATGTTGCTTGGGCAATGGGTGAGAAAGAGACCAAGAACAGTTGGTCATGATTTTTTAGGCGTCGAATGGAGGACTTGAAACTGACAGAATTTGAAGGTGAGGACTAACAATTATGTCTGATATCCAGAAGTTATGTGTATTTTTTTAATCTCATTTTTTACTTTAATGCTTAAGCTTGCATTATATGCACTCTAACCGTGTATTTTTTATTGTTTAAGGAACTTGTTCAAGCTGTATCTGAATTGATGCCAAATGTTGAGCATAGAATGTGTGCAAGGCACATATGGAGCAACTGGAAAAAAACCTGGAGTGGTTAGGAAAGAAGGAAGAAATTTTGGGGTTGTGAAAGAGATTCATTTGAAGCAGTTTTGAAGGTTAAACTAGATGAGTTGGCAGAATTGGGTGGCAATAAGATAATAGAAGACTTGCTTAGATATCCCAAACAATCATGATGCAGGGCCTTTTTTAACTGTAGTAAATGTGATGTTGTGCAGAATAACATGTGTGAGACCTTCAACTGTTGGATGCTAGCCAGACCAATATTGATCTTGGATAAAGAGCACCTGGACTAAGGTGGAAAGGAGCAAATGTAGTAACACAATGGCAGCTTCAACAACAGGCTAGAAGGAGATAAACTCACGCAACCCCAAGCCAATCCGAAGCTCTTTCTTCAACTCAACCAAACCTGAGCCAATCTCAGTCCAACTTCAACCAGTCTCAACTATAATAATTTGAAGAAATATTTCTTTTTGTGAAAGTTTAAGTCTGTTAGTATTAGAAATTATTTCTAGGTTATTTTTTTTGTGCAAGATTTAGTTTGAAATATTCAGAAATTAGTTAATGAATGTTGTTTTGGTCTGGTTTAGGCACAATAGTAAATTGGTTTTTGCTAGTGTGTAGGCCTACTTTTGACAATCAAGATGGTTGTTTTGAACTTGTCTAATATATATTCAGATGTTAATGCCAAGCATCACTTTTTATTGCAACAAAATACTTTATACACTTGACATTGTCATTGTTTGTTAAGAATAAACACACAATACAAAGATCCTGAGCTAAGAATAACACTACAAAAAGCAGTGCAACAACAAGCGCAATTACATATTATTTTTCCCTATTCCTTCGCTGCTCATTGACGCGAATTCTTGATAGCAGTCTCAAAGTCACTTGTTTGTAATGATTTGGAAGAGGTGGGTCAACACTCACCCGAAAAAATTACAGCAACTGCTTGTACCATACTTTGAGCATCCTAATAACCTTCTACCCGGATTGGTGGGCTTCTATGTTATGCACACAACAACATCAACTCCACAACGACAAAGTACACGACGTTCCATTGCATTCTTGGCATGAAGAATAAAACATCGATCTAGAGAAGGAAAAAATTGACTTGAATCTGTAAAAAATTTGAAGAGAAGAAGTGCTACAGAGCTTGTATACGTCAATAATGGAGGTTGTAGGCCAAAGAAGGAAGAAGAATCCCTCTAAATAGATGGGCCCTTGGATTTATTACCGTTGGGCATTGAAAAAAGCTCATTCACGCTCCTGCCAGGCGTGACTTACGCGCACAACAACTGACTAGGAATAACTGATGGTGCATAAATTGAGTCAACGGTCGGAGGTATTTATTAGTTCACTTATGCTCAAGTTGAATGTTCATGTAGGAATTTTGTAAGTTTATTTACCGTCATGACAATTAGGTACAAGTTTAAATGGTTAGAAGACCATTTTGCCTATTTAAAAGTTTAATTCCAAACTTTTCATTTAAATAAAATAATTTTATTGCTATAGTGAGCAATGAACTATAAATCTTAGCAAAGGCAAAAATCTAGGTGATTTCTTTCATTTGTTCATGCCCCCAAAGTTGGTAAGCGTGCTGTCCACCTCTATTTGGTGTGCGCGTGAAATTACTTCCCAATTTCTTCCTCATAAAAACCTAAACTCACATTAAACACATCTCCCACTCTGTTCTGCAAACCATAGTACTAAAAGTTCACTCAAACAGCTACGCTCACCTATTCAGATAGAAAAAACACAGTATATATAACAGCAGCAAAAGATCAAACAGCGAAAAGGCATAAACCCAAAACACCATCAAACATGCCGATCGCCGCCGCCACCGCCGCCGTCAACTTCCATCCGGTGACAACACACTACAACGGCACATTCGCCTCACCACCTTCTTCACCCTTCCGCACCTCCGTTTCCATATCTAATGCCGTCAACACACGTGTTACTTCCCTCTCGTTCTCCATGAATTCCCGCCCTAATTTCACCGCCAGCCGCCGCACATTCCTACTCTTATCCTTCGCTGCTTCAGGCGGCAGCGGTGGAGACGATAATTTCAATGGAGGTAATGGAGGCAGCAGCGGAAACGGTGGAGGTGGCGGCGGTGGTGATAACGAGGAGAGCGGCGATCAGAAAAACAACAAAAAGGAAGCTTTGATGGCACTGACGGAGGCAGGTAACTCGCTGTTTTTACCTCAAACTCTATATATACACTGATTTTTTTCAAATAAATAAATAAAATACATATAGTAGTAATTTGGACCGATTTAAAATCCTGAATTCTTCTCTGTCGTGCAATCATATTCTGTATTTACTAATTTAAACTGGATTTGGGTTATATACGCGGATAGTATTTTTTTTTCTTTATACTATCCGTGAATTTTAGCCAGTGATAGCAGTAGTTTCCTTTTATTAGATTACCAATTAATGCTTAGAATTGATCTGATTGTGTAATTCTTTTTGCATTTTAAGTGCATTTAACTGAAACTGATTTAAATTTTGGATCCGTATCTGCTTCTGTAGGTAGGTCATTGGAGAGTTTGCCGAAGGATATGAAGGCAGCGATAGAGGATGGGAGAATACCTGGATCCATAGTATTAAGGTTCTTTGAGCTAGAGAAATCTCCATTATTGGCATGGTTGCTTCAATTTGGAGGGTTTAGGGAGCGGCTTTTGGCAGATGATCTTTTCTTAGCTAAGATTGCTATGGAATGCGGCGTTGGTATATTCACCAAGGTTGGGAATTGGCATTTAGCACTTCAATTTTTGAAAATTTACTAGTTTCCACCCTAAAGTTCAATGCTGTTTTACTTATTTGGCCTTGATTTTAAAAATATTTGCTATCTGCCTGCACTTTCTGACACAATTTAGGCGATTTTCTAGTGGGGAAGGCATGCATTTCTAGGTGGTTGGGTACTTCTTTTTTGATGAAGTAAGGTATTGCATTATAGGCATCAAGAAGATGCTAAAGGTTACAATCTAAAACTTGGTTAACTCTTAGAGGGTGTTTGGATTGGCTTATAAAAAGTAGCTTTTAAGCTAAAAGCCAAAAGCCATAAGTTGGTAATGCCCAACTTTTGGCTTTTGGCTTATTTTTTGTACTTTTTATGCCTAAAAGTAAGTGCTTTTAAGCACTTTTGTATCATTGCCAAACACCACACAAACTAAAAAAGTGCTTAAAAGCCAATAAACACTTAAAATAAGCCAATCCAAGCACCCCCTTAATACAATAGGTGGTTGGGTACTTCTTAATTAACGGGACCTAACACCTATAGTACTTTCCTTAGTTTGTTAAATATTTGACGAAGACCAAAAGTGAGCGCAAACTTAAAGGGCCAAAGCTACTCAGGAGTATATTTGAGGGACCATTTTGAACCTACCCCTAAATATAAGAGACTTTTCTTTCATTTTTTCTGTACTATGTTGTCATGCTGAAATGGTAGAATTTGTGATGTTGCTGTAGTTTCTAAATGTCGTGTCTATTGTCCAAAGGTGAATTTATCTAGGTCATGTAACTTTGGAAGTTGGTCAAAATTGATTTTAATTATGGACGGATGAGGTAGTATTTGATTGTCCTTTTTGACACATTTGTAGTGATTTCCTAGATGGGAGACATACTATAGGAATGAGAATTTTCATGTTTTAACTACCATGACGAATAAAATATTGACGAACTAGAGACTTTTACGCAAAAATTAAGATTGCTGCAAGAGGGTAGAGTTGTTGGGAGTAAAGATTGAAATTTTGGGAGGATATTTGTTAATTTGGCGATTGTCTGTTTGCTGAAGTGTTGGAGTCGATCAAGAAACCATCATTAGGAGAGATTATCAGTAGATGAGCTTGCTAGTAGGCTATGAACTCATCGGTTCAGACAATATGAGCATTGACTCATAATAAACTAACAACAAAGGAGATTTATCGAGCTCAAATTATGTGTTTATTTTCTTTCGTTTAACTTTTTGGATGCATTCTTCTTGAAGCACACTTGGCTTATGAAGAAAAACGTTGTACTTGAGGAATTATTTTATTTTTTCTAAAAATATGCCTTTTTCTTTCATTGTTTTGTGTTTGATATTAAGACTTTGCTGGTATTTTGATGTTAAGACTTTAGTTAAACCGTATTTGGTGTTAGTGAAAGGTGAAATCCTACTCTAGAAAACAATTAAAAATTTTATCTTTTGTTATGAGTAATAAGAACTATCCGGAAATTGTATCTGGGAATTGTTGACAATAGGAGTAAGCTTACCATGTAGGAGAACAAGATGATGAAAAGTGGGGAGTGCTTTGTGCTTTACTGTGCAACCTTCAAAAATTTATTGAACCGGGGGAAGTCTACAACTCTTTGTTCATCTCTTTCCCTTTTTTCAATCTTTGTTCTTTAAATAATAGTCAAAACATCTAGTTTCTAGATGCTTTCCAAGAATCCTTTCACGTCCTTAACGTCCTCTGTGGTCATGCTAACGATAAGAATGTTTGAAGTTTTTCTTTAGTTATAATGGAACATCGGGTTCCTAACTTTTATTTTATGTATGTTATGCTTGGTAAAATGTCATGTCTGTTTATTGATCAGGTAAGATGAAATTTAATGAGAGTATTGGATTCAGCCTCTCCTTTCTCTTTGTTGTAAAGCTGGGCCCCATTTGGGTTTAAGCTGGATAGCCGTGAACTCTGGTTGCACAGACCCCTCATCCAGTTGCAGTTTTGAGGGTCTTCGAGGGTTGGGATCGGGGTGGAGATGTTTCAGCGGACTATTTCAAAGGTTGTTTCGTGGGCTTCTTATATGGCCAAAACTGGATTGCCCGAAGTTAGCTTCAACTTCCTTTTTTTATCGATAACCATAGTGTACTGACCAACTTGCGTACACCTCGACTAATTCCATTTTTACCTACTACTTCCCACCAATACATGTATTGGGTAACTCTATCCACCAATGCTTGGACAAATGGGAAGAAATTACCTAGAGCCTGTTTGGAAAGCCACTTAGGAATTGGATTTGAGTGTAATTGGATGTAAATACAAAGTTAGGCATGTTTGTTTGGCCAAGTAATTACTTGGTCAACATAGTGTAATTGGAGATGTGTAATTATACTTTCCAATTCTCAAGGGGAGGTGAGAATTGGTAGTAATTAAATTGTGTAATTACAAGGTAACTTTTGAATTTTTTTCCTTTTTGTTTTTATTTTAATTTATTTTCTTTATAACTTTTTATTTCTATTATTTTAATTTCTTTTTATTTGAATTTTTATTTTATTTTTACTTTTTAATTTTAAAATATATTTTTCTTTGTACATTATTTATCTTTATTCTCTACCTTTACTTCTTTTGATTACATGTAATTGCTCGTATATTTTATTTTTTATTTATTTTATTTCTTCATTTAGCGTAACCGCGTTATTATTCTAGTTTTTGAAACTACACCTCCTAATATTAGAAATAATGAGTCATTAACAAACTTTGACATATAATGAGTGATGTCGTTAAAGTAGAATTTCATTGTTGAATGAGGTTATAAACATTATGTTTCCTAATCTTTAAGTTATAATTGAATGTATTTTTATTATGTTGGAATTTGACATATGTTAAACTATTTTTTTTTGATTTTGAAATTGTATTAGATTTATGGTTCCAATTTACTTGTTTTAGTAGTATTGGCTTGTTGTTTCATATTACGTGTTGTTCATTTTTTAGTTAGAATTGATAGATTAGTTTTGTCAAACATTTGAATAATGTTATGATATTATATTTGTAACTATTAATTTGTTTTATCAAATATGCATTTCATGATGTTCTTACAAAATGTATGTTTTTAATTTTATAATTAATTAAACTAAATATTATTAATTTGAAAAATATATATCAATTATTTTTACAATATTAATTATAAATATATAATTACTAATTAATGCATATTCAAGAAAAAATATGTATCTCAAATACCAAATCTAATACCATTTATACTTATAAAAATCATTTATAAGCATATATTTCTTATATTAAATTTCAACTTCTGATAATTACTTCATTTAAAATTTTATCTGACTATGTAATTACACTTATACAACCAAACAATACGCTTGTAATTACACTGTAATTACGTTATCACAAACAAACATGTCGTCGTAATTACTATATTGTGTAATTACTTGTCTGTGTAATTACTACCCTAGTAATTACACCAATTCCAATTACCGGGTGGCTTTCCAAACAGATCCCTAGTGTTTTTTGCCTAAGCCAAGATTTGAAACTAAGACCTCATGATTCTCAACCCACTTCACTGACCACTAGGCCACACCCTTGGTTGCAAGTGAGCTTCAACTTCTTTACAGGAGAAAGAAATACATAGAAAAAGAAATTATACTCGTATAGACCTAACGTCCTAACCAATATAGTTTCATGTGACTAGTCAGAAAAGCATTTGGAGCAGCTATGGAAAACTTGTTTCTCATGGTCGATAATTTCTATGTCCGATAAAGGACTCTTTTTCTTGTGCAAGCATGCACTTGCTTCATCTTTTCTTTAAGAAGTGGGAAATTCCAAAGTCATTGCTGTGGTTTATGTTTTCTGTAGTGCTAGAAGGCAATCCTCATTGGCTGAATCCTCTTTTTATCGTCGCTTGCCAAAGTCCAACTGCTATATTTTCTTCTCTGGATTCATGTTCCCTTTCAGGCGTGCATAATTTACCAACCTTTTTTCCCGCACATATTGCTTTCCTTATGGGATAGGTCTACTTTATAATTTTTATATTTTTTTATAATGGTAGGTCTACTTTATTATCTCTATTACTATGGCTTGTAATGTTACCATACTTGGCTAAGCTAGAGATCCATCTTTATATCTTTGGGCGTATGGGTCCATAAGAACTTGAGTCGACAACATTATGGTTTTTCATTGTGCTGTATAGGGAAAATTTATTTCAAATGTTCCCTATCACCCCAATTAACAGGGACTCCATTCCCAAAGATCTTGAATGTCCAGCATGATAGGCTGCTCTGCCTGTTCTTTGCGAACAAAAAGAAAAACAATGTTATGTTACTTTTTCTTTGCAGATTATTTTCATGTTCTCTATCTGTTTATGTATTAAAATTGAGATTATTTCTCTGTGCTTTTAATTGGTAACTCATTTTTCACCTGTGCGCTAGAGCAAATTGCTGTTACTTTCCTGCTGTCAAAATAGTACGAATATTTGTTTGTTAATTAATCTGCTTTATTCCAGACTGCTGCTGAGTATGAGCGCCGCCGGGAAAACTTTTTTAACGAGCTGGAAATTGTTGTGGCAGATGTGGTACGTTGCCCTTCTTCTGATTGCTAATATATACATCTGTTTTCATTTTGATTTTTGTTTTTTGCTTGTAATGCTAATAGAAAACAAGATTTTCTTCCATGCGGACCTATTTTTGCTTCCTCTGATTTTATGCTGTGAGAATTATTGAGCTTTCATGGAGGCCGTCACTTTTGCGGGAGCAATTTCCTTTTATCCATATATGTTGTATTTCCAAAAACTTTTTTTTTTCCTGAAGTTCATCTATCTTTAAAGTAGATCAAATTCACTGCCCGGAACATTTTCCATTTACCTTGGACTAATAATTGATGTTTCTCTCCAAGATGTCATGTATCCTTGGTTAATGAGAAACTTAGATTTTAAATGGCAAATGATTGATGATTCTCTCCAAGGTGTTGTTTATCCATTGTGAACGAGAAACTGATATTTTCATGGACAATCACCGATGATTCTCTCCAAGGTATTGTTAATCTTTGGTAAGTGAGAAGGTCAGGTTTTAAGAAGTTCTACATGTTTATCCAGAAATGTTTATCATTTTTTCAATACATGTACTTCTGTAGAAAATGGTGATCTTCCTCAATGCGGTTGAGCTGCAGAAATCCATTCCTTTCAGTGCAACTTCTGTTTTTAGGAAGAAGGAAGACAACAACACACTCTTTGTGGACCAACTATTGCTCTAGGTTTCACAGTTATAATTGATATTTTGCCTTTATTCTGCGTAGGTGATGGCCGTAATAGCAGATTTCATGCTCGTCTATCTTCCTGCTCCTACTGTTTCTCTCCGACCACGAATGGCAGGTGATGCTGGACGAATTGCTAAGTTCTTCTACAACTGCCCAGATAATGCCTTTCAGGTCATTAATGCTTATCATGTTAAATTTTATTCAGGTCATAAACACTGGGTTGTACCTTAAGGTTAAAGGATAAAATTTGACTTGCTATTATATACAGATGGCCCTGCCTGGAACATCGTACTCGTTGTTGCAAAGATTAGGTGCAATAGCGGTATGTAATTCTTGTCTTGCTCTCATTCTTGGGAACCAAAACTTCAAGAATGAACTATTGACTAATAACTGGTTTTGATTGGATCAATTTTGTAGCGCAATGGGAGTAAACTTTTCGCTGTTGGAACCGCCTCTTCCCTGGTAATGTTCAACGTTTCATTTTTTTCATCTTAGATGTGTTTGTGCTGAGACTTTTTCATCTTTACCTTTATCCATATATGTTAAAAATGAACTCATTGTTGGTGTCGATTGTTCTTTCTTTTAAAGATCCTATCATCATTCATCCTTTTAGTGATTTGCTTGTGAGGTCATTATTGTTTTTGAAGTGTTAAGTAAATTTTATTGCTCCAGCCCTAAGGATGGTGCTGTAGCTGTACATATCGAGCAAAAACAAAATATATAAGGATTCTGTGAGGTCTAAAATTAATTTTGCTTCACCTGCTAGTTCCTCTTTACCCCAAAAGAAAACAAAAGCATACAATTGTACAATTGAGCTTAATCTTTTTGTATTGAATTGACGGTCTTGAAAACATCTCATGTTCTGTTCCTTCCATATTATCCACCTTGTGGATTGGGGGGATTGTTTATCCACCATATGAATTGGGGGGATTGTGTTCCACCATTTGTCTTCCTTGAATCCTTTCCAACATTCGACATTTGTGCTGTAGTCTTGGGATAACCCAGTGAAGATTTACAATGTTGAGGAAGAGCTGTCATAGTTGGTCCTTTGTAGGACAGTGTAGAAAGAGGTGGCTAACACTTCCAGGCTTCTCACCATATAAGTAGCATCTTCCCCTTTGAGGTCATTGCTGAAACTTCTAATCATATAGCATGCAAAAGGTTCAATATCAATCTAAACCTCAGCACGTACTGTACGTTCCAGGTCTCCGACACCCTTGGCTCTTTCCTGATAACAAAAGTTTATGAAAAAGAATACAAGGGTGTTCAGTGTTTCATTCCCCTATAATTAATTGCTTCTTTGTTGTCCAATGCCTCAACTTTGGTTGACCATCCCTTAATGCCCTAAAAGTACCTACATTTTGTACCTACTGTACGGTCTACTGATTTCTTATTGGGCTCAAAGACACTGGGTTTCTTCCTGTATAACTAGTGACTAGTGACACCGATAACTGAGTCAATTGAGCCATCATACTAAGCTTAAAAGTGAACTAAAAATAGAATGAAAATGTTTTACCCAGCCATTGCACCATCAAACTCTTAATAATTACCAAATACTAGAAATATAATGTTTTATATTGAGCTAGTTTTTCCTAAGGAAAATTGCTCTGAGATAAGCTGAAATTTGAGAAGCTGAAACTTTTCTCATTTATGCCAAAATGTATGTGGCAATACTATTTGCGGATTTGTATAAAGCCACGGAATGGCTAGAAATTTTGAAGAGTGTTGTGGATGGGTAGAGGTAAGGTCTGTGTACTCATTACCCTCCCCAGACCCCACTTGTGGGATTTTACTGGGTCGTTGTTGTTGTTGTTGTTGTTGTTGTTGTTGTTGTATGCGGATGGCTATATAGCACGGGACCTGGGGTCCATTCCTTATGCTGAGGCGGAGCTTAGTTGTTGTGCACCAATTGATCTCACTCACAGCAGCCTGGTTTAGAACTTTTATCCTAAGATAATCACATTGACCCAAGATAATGTTGGAAGTTTTTGGAAGGGAAAAGAACAATTTTTTGACTTGAATCACCTCACTGTCCTGTGATTAATGTTTTTGGCATAACCTCTGTCATTAATCCGCAGAAGAGTCCTTGATTCTATATTAGAATTTTTATTTAACTTCACTTCAAACATATCACTAATATTTTCATTCTCGCTTTTTGTTGAATATTGTTATCTTTCTTGGACAAGATTCTTTGCACAATGATATGGGTCCTAGAGGTACCTAAATGAAATTAATTTCTTTTCCACCAGGTTGGCACAGTAGTGACAAATGCAGTACTAAATGCTAAGAAGGCTGTTAATAAGTCCGAAGAGGTGGAGACTTTGCCTGTTCTTTCAACAAGTGTAGCTTATGGTGTTTATATGGCAGTTTCTAGCAACCTTCGGTGAGTGTGATTGGATGAGTTTGATCACTTAATCATTTGTGTTTCAGTTATTTTGAGATCTTCATCGTTTATGATCTGTGCTCTCATGTTATAATTTTTCTCATACTTGCCTTTTCTCAAAATATCATAATTTTTCTTGTCCCAAGAAGCAAAATAGAAGCTCTAGTCCAGTAACGCTTGTTTTCATTTTTGCATAATTCCACATTCTTTCATATATTAGTCCAAAGGATATTCCTCCAATATAAGCATCTTTCTGAATGGAATGTCACTGGTCACAATTTTGTATTGTATCATGCAACGTACCCTTTTACTTTCTATACTTAGATCCAGAAAAATCATCTTCTTTTCCTCGGTGCGGTACAGCTTTTCTGATGTAGCTTGCGTGCAAAGAGTATTTCTCATTGTTCGAATGAATACAGTTTGGTGTTCCAGGGCTCCAGTCCATTTGGCTTCCACCCCCCTCGTCTGTTATCCCGGGAGGGGCTGTTATTCATTTTTCTGTTTTCTTTTATTCACTATTCTGATGTCATATTTTGTCAGGGCTCTATTCTGATCTGTCTGAAAACACCAAGTGTAGATATCTGGATATTAATATTGTCAACCCAATACAATTACAACACCCCCCCCCCCCACACACACA